AAAGAAAGAAAGAAAGAAAGAAAGAAAGAAAGAAAGAAAGAAAGAAAATCAAAGCCAATAAAATTGGCAGGAAGAATCTGGGTGCTACTCTGGGGAATATCAACATTTGTATCTTCTATAACAGAGAAAGAACTCCAAGCATTTGTCTTCTGCATCTGTTTTTGAACATTTCAATGCTACTTAAAAGGGCACAATAATGTAATTGGGATTGAACGGAAAAGGGGGGCCACGGCCATTGTTTTCTAAACTGGGGGGGGGGGACACAAAAGGAGGGTAACTTTAAAGCAATTAACTCTCTTCCCTAATTAACTTAGATAGCAATTCCATTTTAAATGCCCTTTCTGGGGGAAAAAAAAAGCTTAATTTGTTTAGCTGGAAATTTGCCTCTCATGAAAAGAACAGGAAGAAGGGGGGAGTGAATCAATTAGCCTCTGCAAAAAAAAATATTAGTTTGACATGATTGAGTCCATGGATCTCTCTTGCTTTCGCACAAGGAATGTTGAAGCAGTAAACTCTTTTTCATACGGTAATCAAACCCTGTTTTCTCAAATTATTTTCCTCTCATTGGAATGCCTCCTCCAACAAGTATTCCCAAAACATTTGCAGGACCTCAGCTTGGAAAAGGCAGATAGGGTGGAACAGCAGACATTAAAAATCAGGAATTACTATCAAAAGCAACCGAGATGGAGCAACAGATTAACAGAGTTGGAAGAGACCTTGTAGATCATCTAGTCCAACCCCCTGTCCAAGCAGGAGACCCTACACCATTTCTGACAAATGGCAGTCCAATTTCATCTTGAAAGTCTCAAGTGAGACTCCCACAATTTCCGAGGGCAACTTCTGTTCCATGGGTTGAATGTTCTCACTGCCAGAAAGTTTCTCCTTATTTCCAGGTTGAATCTCTCCTTGTTCAGTTTCCATCCATTATTCCTTGTTTGGCCTTTGGGTGCCTTGGAAAATAGCTTGACCCCCTTCTCCTCTCTGTGGAAGCCCCTCAAATAGTGGAAGACTGCTATCCTGTCTCCCCTGGTCCTTCTCTTCCCTCGTCTAGCCAGGCCCAGTTCCTGCAACTGTTCTTCATATCTTTTAGCCTCCAGTCCCCTCATCATCCTGGTTGGTCTTCTCTGCGGTTTTTCTAGAGTCTCAGCCTCTTTTTTATAGTGTGTTGACCAAAACTGGATGCTGTACTCTAGGTCAGTGATGGCTAACCTATGACACGCGTGTCACTCGTGACACACCGAGGCACTTTGACTGACACGCCTGTGGGGAAAACCTGCACATTTAGAGGCTGCCTGTGCTCTGCTCCAATCCCTGCTCCCTGCTTGTTGCGTGGAGGCGTGGTGTCACCGCTGCCACAAGATCTTTGCAGCAGAGAACCAGTTTTAACCGCCATAAACTGAGGTTTGTCAGTTTCATTACCTCAGGAACGCTACAGGAGGAAAGGAGATCCATGAGGTTCACAGCCCTGTAAGGTGGCCTTCCGATCCCCACATCCTGCACCTGCAGCCCTGAGACCAGGGAGACGAGTTTCACAGCCCTGTGTGATCACCCCAGCCCAGTCCGTCATAAACCAAATTATTGATATTTCTTGAAGTGACACACGACCCGAGGAAGGCTACACTTTTTCCCGATTTTCGACACACCTAACTGAAAAGGTTAGCCATCACTGCTCTAGGTGCTACTAAGATGCTTGCATTCTTCACCATTAGAATGTTATTATTACAGAATAACAGAGTTGGAAGGCACCTTAGAGGTCTTCTACTCCAACCCCCTGCTCAAGCAGAAGACCCTATGCCAGTGATGGCAAATCTTTTTGTTGTGGTGTGGTGAAAGTGCATGCGTGCCGGCACCCACCATGCAATGTACACCCCCCCCGCGCGCATGCATGCACAACAGCCCCACCCTCCTTACCTGCACTGCGCATGCACATGTCTCCCAGCGGATTTTCGGCCCATTTGAGGACATTTTCACCCTCTTGGAGGCTCGAGGGGGAAGCCTCTGCAGCCTTGGGAGGCCGAAAAACAGGCCTTCTGTAAATACCAGAAGTGCCTGTTTTCAGCCTCCGGAGGGTCTCTGGAGCCCGGGAGAGGCCATTTTCACCCTCCCGGAGGCTCGAGGGGGAAGCCTCTGGAGCCTGAAAACGGGCCCATTTTGGCACTTCTGGTATTTCCTGAAGGCCCGTTTTTTTGGCCTCCCGAGGCTGCAGAGGCTTCCCTCGAGCCTCCGGGAAGGCGAAAACAGCCTCAAACAGGCTGAAAATCAGCTGGGAGGTGAGCGCATGCGCAATGCAGGTAAGTTTGGCTGGGGCTCGCGTGCCCGCACAAACGTCTCTGCGTGCCACCTGTGGCACGCGTGCCATAGGTTCGCCATCATGGCCCTATATCTTTTCAGTCCAATCTCTTTTTAAAAACCTCCAGTGATGGAGCACCCATAACTTCCAAAGGCAAGCCGTTGCACGGATTGTTTTCACGACCAAGAAATTTCTCCTTAATTCAAGGTTGGATCTCTCCAGAAGTTTCCATCTCTTACTTCTTGTCCTGCTCTTGGGTGTTTTGGAGAATACGTTGATACCCCCTTCTTTCTGTGACAGCCCCTCAAATATTGGAAGACTGATAACATGTCACATAGAACAGTGGCCCCCAACCTTTTCTGTACCACGGCCCGGTACAAAATGTACAAAATGATCCACGGACCAGTACCAGCATCAGCACGCATGAGCAAGGCAAGGTGAGCCGAGCGACTGGCCAGCCAGCCGTCCCCCGTTTCTCCCCGCCACCTTCAACTCCTCCTTTGTACCTTCTCGCGGTCGATGGGCTTTTCGGGCTCTTTCTTAATCTCCTCCTGAGTAACGCGAGACTCCACCGCCATCGGGACGGCTCTTCGTTCGAAGCCGACCCCCCCCCCTTCGACGAAACTAAGGCGCGAGGATTCCTTCAGCACCCAAACGCCGCTTTCCAACCGACGACTGACAAGCTCACCCGGAAGCACTTTCTCAAGCGCCGTCAAAACAAGATGGCGGCGTCCAAGCAAAATAGGTGGCCCGGTACAAAATGATCCATGGACAAAATGATCCATGGGGCCCGGTAGTTGGGGACCACTGACATAGAACACGTCAATCCTTCCATCCTCCACCATTCAGTCAGAACTGAAGAAGCTTCTTGGATGAGAAGTGAAACCTCTTCAAGGAAAAAACAAAGTCTAGCTGCCTTTTGAAAAAGCACCTTTGGGACAACCATGACCTGAAGGACTGAGAATTTGCACAAACATCAATATAATTACATCTTACATTTACAAGTCACACTGATTGCAAGACAGGTTGGTATTGTTACCTTGAACAGAGTGGCTTTCTCAGGGATTATTCCTCTAATTTTTACTTGGGGTTCGAGAGGCAGAGGAATGGGTTCAATATCTGATAAGTTCATCTTTTCATTGTCTGCCAGGAGAGTCTGCAATCTATCATTCTAGAAGAGGAAAAGATAAGCAAAAGGGAGAATATATGATATGCAAATAATAACCCCATTTAAAAAAAACACACACACAACGCTCAGAATAATAAAATGAGATTTACACTGAATGCAGAATAACAGAGTTGGAAGGGACCTCGGAGGTCTTCTAGTCCAATCTCCTGCTCAAATAGGAGACCCTATACAATTTTAGACAGATGGTTGTCCAATTTCTTGTTAAAAACTGCCAGGGGAGCATCTATGCAGGGGTAGGCTTCAAAAAAAAAATTAGCAACCAGTTCTCTGCCCGGTTGCTGGGTAGGCATGGCCTAGTTGGCCTCCTACACCACTCTGGCCTGGGAGCAAAAACGGGCTATAGGGGGGCGTTTTCACCCTCCCCGGGTTCCGGAGGCTTTCCTTGAGCTTCTGGGAGAGTGAAAATGCCCCCCCCCGGGCTCTGGAGGCTTTCCTGAGGCCGGAAACGTCCTGCTTTTCGCCCTACCCGAGCCTCCACACTTACTTGCCATCCAAAATGGGCCTCGTGGGGACTCCTGGGAGGGGAGAGTTGGGCGGGGCCAGCCAGTGGTGGGATCTGCCAGTTCGTCAAACTGGACATAAAAATTAGATACCGGTTCTCCTAAACCGTTGCGAACCGGTATCATCCCACCTCTTTGACATCCAGAGACAAGTTGTTCCGCTGATGAATTGTTCTGACACACAACTGCTCAAGAGAATTTATCTTTAGGAATATACTATTGTGATATGTATGACACTAATTATTTTATCCTCACAATACTGAGACAAGTCTGATTCACAATTCAAAGATTTATTTTTTTTTAAAAAAAAGTGTTTGCAAAGGCAGCCTCCAAGTCCCGTCCCCTTGGTGATTGACTAGTATCCTTCCAGATATTAAGATTCTGGAGATGTGTAATTTATCCTTTTTTGATCATTTTTGGATCGGTCTAAAAATTGCACAAGATGCAGGGTTATTTCCCTAAAGTGTACAATAGTATCTTATTCATTATTTTTAAATTGGAGGTGTTTATACGATGTTCAGTATTTAATATACAGCTGAGACGCTGAGCATGCTTATAACTTTCGTTTCGTTTCTTTTTCTTTGCTTTTTCACTCTGTGAAATTTATGGCATGCACTTGAACATGTCCAGGTTTGGGGGTCTTTCATTCCATTTGGGTTGCTGAAATTCAGACTTTGAGTACTTTGCTGGGGCCAAACTTAACAGAAGGGGATTGTTAGCCAGATAAGAAGGCAGCAAATATGCTGGAGATATTTAATTGACTTTAGATGATAATGGAACCAAGATTGCTTTCAGCCAGGTGCATCTCACTGGTGAAGTTGGTTCCTGGTCCATTGTTAATTGTCTGGACATCCTTACCTTTTTTTTCCGGTTTCCATTTTCACGGTGCACGGCTTTCATTACATGGACCAACCGATCTACAAAAGTCTGTTGGGCGGCCAATAAGGATCGCATCACCCGGACTGATTTGTCACCCTGGGTAAATCAGGAGGAAAAGAAAACCCTTTCT